GAATGCACGGAAAGGGCCAACAACTTGGTAGCTGGCCAGCGCCGAAAAAGCCTGGACCCCGCCGTCCCCCTCTCATTCAATTCAACGTTTCACTATCCTGTTCACTACTCTTTTTGTGGTGTTGTTGTAGAGTTAATGTATTTACATCCAACTCATTCCAAAATCCGAAAAAGAAAGCTAGTTATTTATTCTGAAAATATTGCCATAGTAAGAAAAACCCAAGTTTGCAATTTTTATGTAAAACAAGGAGAAAAACAGAATTCCTATAAACAACAAATGAATGCAAACCTCACAAGTCATGACAACCGCCATACTTGACCCACTACAATTCCAAAACCGTTTTGTTTGAAAAAGTCTGCTTTGCCTATCTTCAGATGGGATTGAAATTTGATGATTGCCTGAACCATTATCCTTTTCATTTTGGAGTTCTATCTCATTGTTTTCTTTCGGGTTCTTAAGTTATTTATAGCTCCTTCCACGAATTGAATTCTCCTAGCGGACCATACAGGATCCTGGTAAAAAAATACAGTGGACAACGCCATTAGGACTGGCTTAAAATCGAATTCCAGTTTGAATTTGACTTTCAGGTTAAAGCATATCCTGCCCCATCTCTCTCCCCCACGCATGCTGGTATTTCAGTGTTATTTAATAATCCCAGCTATCTCTTTCCCGTTGATACTGTGGTAAAATATTGAAATCTGTCACTCATTGAATTTAGAAGGGGGGGTGGGGGCGTCCGTCCTCCCAGATGATACTGCCCCTCACGCTGTTTTTCCTCTCCATTTACCCTCCAAAGTGTATGGTCACTTTCCGCCATAAGTGGGGGTGGGGGGATGGTGGCGGTGGGACCATTTAATTTTTCAATCTGCCACCAACAATGCTACGCACACTCGTTTACTTTCTAGAACCCGAAGAGACAGCAGCATCAAAGTTTTTGGACCTCTTTATAGCCTTGGTTATGGTTTCGAATGACAACTTGCAGCCAATAAAAGCCCAGCATTACCAATCCAATTCTATGCCAAGGCACTGTCTTCTCTGATCTGAATAAGGGCAAACGGATGACTACAATAGAAGCGGCAGTGCACGATCTCTTTTGATCTTATCATTAATTTATTTTTCACTCTTCATTCTTATTTTGTTTTGTCATTGTTTGAGGTGTAATATTGGAAGGATATGTAAATTTTTGTTCCACTTTCAACGCAAGCACATGATAAGTAGCTGCTGGTGATATGCATGCAGAAAAGAAAAATCAAACGGTAGCCGCATGCATGCATTCAAAGAAGCAATGGGCTGTCCGTGAGAATGCATTCTATAGCTAGCACTGTGGAATCCTCTGCCAATCCTTTCTTCCACTGGATCCTTGGTGAAGACTGTGACTTCATGGTTGCTGCTACATATATTTACCATAGAGAAAATGCCACGGAGCAGGCGTGTACGTCGTTTACATAGTTCCTTGGTGTGGCAAATTTGGACCAAAAGTCCTAAGGGGAAAGGGATAAGGTAGCCATAGATCGTAGACCTACCATTATATTTTAAGCATATATAAACAGAGAAATTAACCATAGTAGAACTGTAAAAGTGCTTTCAATTGCTAAAGAAAAGAACGGAGGGCTTCTCCCAAGAGCTAGCTAGAAATTAACCATAGTAAAACTGTAAACTGCTTTCCATTGCTAAAGAAAAGAAGGGAGGGCTTCTCCCAAGAGCGAGGTAGCAGTCTTTGCTTGAAAACCATCCATCTCTCCGTATTCATTTTTTCTCTACATAAAACCACATGTACCTAGAGGACCATTCAACAGGTCAAATGTTATCGTACTTGGACTTCAGGCACTAAATTCCTGCAGGTGCCGCTGCAGAAGAAAATCTAGTTGCAAACAGACCTGCTTTGTTGCCTATTTATGCCTATGAAAATGCTGTGCTAGGTCAGAGCAGGGCTGCTGAGGCTTCTATATCTTACCTCATGGCGTATTTCTTGTAAGCTTTTCGTAACTGACGATTTCCTGAGATAATATATAAAATTGCGGCTTTCGCAATTGAGGAGCAGGGAAAATGTAACGGTGAGCCCAAACTACTTTGGAGCTGCCGTGCCACAAGCCGACATTGTACTTGCTTGGAAGTGGCCGCCCAATTCCAAGACCCTAAAACAAAATCAAACATTGGAATCATCATCAGCTCTTCATGTAACTCCCTGGCCAGCTTCTGACCTTGTCCGTGGAAGTTCGCTATTTATGTGAACTACTTTGTTTAGGTTTCATCATCAAATTCACTTCCTTTAATCTTGGCAAAAACAATATATCATTTCCTATTCCAATTGTTAATCTAGATTCAAATGGCTGCCTTTGCTTCGACCTCTGCATGTACATTGGCCACCCTTGCTCCAATTCCCCGAGCCGGTGGATCTATTTCTCAGCACAAAAGTTTCACTACCATTGTAAGTGATTACCCCGCTATAGATTGGTGCAATGTGAATATAATTAAGACGAGTACTGAGCCTAATTTATATTGCAGGGAGGTCGTGTATTTAATGGGTTAAAGCTTGTTCCAAAGATTCAATTCTCAAAGGACATAAACAAGTTTTCTACTCGGTCCAGCTGCTTCAAGACTGCAATTTCATGCTCTCTTGTAGGGAATTTTAACTCTTATCATTTTGTTTTCTGACTAATAGTTAAAGCATCAGATCTCTTTCTTCTGTCTTTCTACTTTTTGAAATGAAATCTGTCATTCAAGCTCATTATCGCGATACATTGGGTTTGGCCAGGCTCAACCTGAGACATTGAAAACCGTCCAAAACACAATTGCTAAGCAATTGTCAATTGATGTGAGCACGGTGACACCTGAAACCAAGTTTGCTGACCTGGGTGCTGATTCCCTTGACACGGTATATCTCTTCAAAACAAATGCAAATTTGATTCTATTACAACCTCTTTTCTGTTTCTTGCATCATGTGCATATCTTGGTTTTTTCCTTCAGAAAGAGGATTTTTCAGATTTTTTTTTTAATTTAGAGAAGTGGAATTCAAACTCTACTCTATAGGTAAGAGATCATGATCAACCAATAAACTAAATACTCACTGTAAGAAAATTCTTCAAATTGCTGCTTTCTCTTTGTCAAAATTAGGGGACAAAAGTCTCGTAAATGGATAATAGCCTTTCTTCTACTCTTAGAAATTACAACATTAATATTCTATCAGAAACTAAACCTGTCTTATACAATGTTGTATTGATCAATTCAGGTGGAGATAATGATGGCATTGGAGGAACAATTCGGAGTTTCAATTGGAGAAGGTGGAGCCGAGAACATTGCAACTGTCCAAGACGCTGCAGACTTGATTGAGAAAGTGAAGCCTGCTGCATAGGCCACTTGGAGCACACCGCTTGCGCCACAGAATTACGAAAGCTTCCTTTGCATTAGTTATTTCATAAATGCCACCAAAGAGAAATTACAGTACTGATCAAAATTTTCTACAAGGTGGCACTTCTTTATTCGTCTACTTCCATTTCTCCCTTTCCTTAACCAAGAGGGCAATTTTTGTTGCGAGGTGGTCTTAAATTGTAGCCTGTCGCTTGTCTCTTTGTTATTTCTATCCCATGCAAGCAAGAAAACAAATAAAATCAATAAATGCAATGAATCAAGTTGAGCTTTGTTTTTAGAGATGCAACTTACAGCAACTCCTCCAGCGGCCAGCGGGAATCTAGATAAATTACGTGGATCTACACCTGGCTGATACTAACTCTTTAACAACTGAAATCAAACAAGAATCTGTTCACCAAGTTCCATCCCATTTGAAGGGTGTTTGCTACTCCCGCCACCCCTTAAAAAATACTTGTAAGAAGGAAGGATTTAGCCTACCATATAAAACTTGGGAGGTTTTGCAATGCACCTAGGTGTAGTAAATGTGTATTACTCAAAGGGGCTGTAATTCATGGGTAAGGCAATTTCAATTGCAAAAATACACACTGGTCAAAGCTAGCAGGCAAAATATGGCTAAATTTATTTGATAAGAAAGCATCAGTCATTTAGCAGAGCATATAGAAGCAGTCTTGGAAGAACCACACCAGAAAATGTTTGCAGAAATACCAATTGACGAGAAATCTTCAACTTATGCATATTGTCCAAGTAATGAAGAAACCGAGTTTGTTGAAATGATTGATAGACATTCTGAGACTCATCTTCGCAAAGTCCAGAAAAGTAGCTGTTATGACGTTGATAACCAAGCAAAAAGAAAGCACTCACCAAGCATGAGTACACACAAACTTACAAACAACATTTACACAAGCTATATAACTGAATTCAATGTGACAACACCACTTAAGAGCGATTTTATATTTTTATATGATTTAGGTCTAGTCTAAATTTTAATTCCTCTGTTTTCTTTTTTGGTACTTATGAAAGCCCATCGAGCTTGAGCTACACAAAGAGAAGTGTCTAATTTTTAATTCCTTATAACTCTATATGCATTCTTTTTTCAATAAACTGTTCCTAAAGAGAATCAAACTGTCTATTGAACTCTGGCAGTTAGTCTTCGAATTGTCTGAACCAATCACTAATTGTTCTGGAGAGCACTCTAGTGTCATTCAATGAAAGGGTCTTAAGTCCCTGAGCAATAGCATCTGCTGGAGTGTACACATAGCCCACTTGCCATTTTGGTTCCTGATCAGCCAAAGTAAATTAAATTCTGTCACATATTCATGATCATCAATAATTCAGAGGAAGTTCTAGCCAAGAAACATTTGATGTTAACAGAAAAAGAGCCCGTGTACTCTTTCTTGTTAAGAAAGTTTGGGAAGGTTCTAAAAGACAAATAAAATCTTTTTCCTTCATATTCTTCTTTATGAAAATTGGAAAGTGGTGCCCAATCACAAAGTTTCCACGCAAGAAATTCTCAGCCACTAATATTGAATCAACAACATCTAAGATCAAGACATCCATCAGCTTGAACATGGCAACCCAAAATTCAGAATTTATTCCAGTCCTCTCCATGCAGCCAAATGTGTATGTAGAGACAGAGGGACAGACGGATAAAATAAGGGAGGTAGAGAGAGAGAGATGAAGTTTGCATGTAATACCTGTGCACATGGCGTTATATGATTACCACTTAGTTGGACCTTTTCCAGCGTCCCACCAATAGACTCCACACGAGGTTTCAACGTCTCTTCAAGGAGATCAGTTTCATCAATTGCATCAAAGTTGAACTTCACCTATGAAAGAAGAGGAGATTCAACTGAATAAACACCAAAGCCTCCCACATTATCTAATGAGTGAAGTAGAGAGCACATATTACACACCAGTAGTGTGTGTTGGATGTTGTACTTGTTCTTACAACGTTCACGGTTCTCAGAAGGTGTTGGCCTGAACTCTGATATCCCTTCCGCAACCTACAAGAAACAGATTTACAATGTTAAACCAAAAAACTGGAGTTCATGAGTTTAGGGTAGTCTCATTAACATCAAAGAAGCATGAGATAAGAAAATCGGTCTATTCAAACTACTGAGCCACAATTATTCTCCTTAACATTTATGCTGCCTTGCACATACATTTATATTGCTCAAACAGGATAGTAGTCTCATCCACTAGAATAGTCTAAATCCAATAACCTAATACTACATGGCAGAGATAAGAAAGAACCGATTCAGATCCAATGGACTTAGCTACACTACTCTGTGAATTATCCCAGCTAATGTTAGAACTGGCAGCTTTATATACCTGACCAAAAACCGAGGGCAACTGATCAACAAATTTGGTGAATGAAACTAGGGCTTCCTGGTCCTTGTCTGCTATCATTGCTCCAGCTGTGTCAATAAACATCTTCCATGCATCATCTGCAATTTTAGCCATGACCAGGTACATCCAAAAAATACATATTATCCATTTATAGAACAGGATAAGGTGTATCTATACCAAAGACCAAGTTGCTGTATAGAATCATGTTAATAGGATATCAGGACAGACTGCTGGAACCCCTTAAAAAAACCAATGCAACAGCAATATGAAAAAAGAAGAAAGGTAAGGGAGGGCATGGGTTGGGTTTGTCTTTTGAATTAATCGGCACCAAACAAGATACAAGAGTTAGGACATTATTCACCTGAAGCACTCCTAGCCATTGAATACACTGGAGATGCTTTTACCATTGGCATCATCTGCCTAACTAGAGGACCGAACTGCAGAGTATCATCACAATTTTAGTCTCACATAGTTAATTAACTAAGATGCCCAGGTAACAAAATAACCAGAATCATAGAGTCGCAGCAGACAAACAACATCATACATCTCTGGATGATAATGTATCAACTAATATGCAAAAATATAAGAGGCCTAAAGGAAAATTATATTTTAGTTGGTCAATGATAACCAGCCTCATCAACAATACATTATATGTGTAATCATTGTTGCTAATAACTTTCACATGATAATAATTAATAACTGCCAAATCATCTTTTTTGCTTCAATTTATTAAAAAAAATACAGCTGGATTTATATTATATTAATCCTAATAAAGGAATCAACAACTGAAGACAGCAAACTAATCAATCTGTGCAAGTACACCATATACTCAAGATATACCTTCAATTTAAGTTTGAATCCTTCTTTTTTTTGCATGAAATGGTTAATATGCATAAGAAGCCAGGTAAACAGACATAATAGGCCAATGTTTGACATAGTGAATACTAATAAAATTCTCTTAAGAAATTAAGCTTGGAGACGAAACATATACCTTCAAGTAAGTGTAATCAAAACTTGGATTTCTTATCCTCAATAAAATAAAGATAATTACCTGCTCAAAGTATGGCACCGCCTCTGTTGCTGGCCTGTTGTTGTATGAGATAATGGCATTAGCCTTCCACAAGAGATAACATTCTTCGTCACACTCCAGGAATTGCTCAACTTATTCTAAATTACAATACATAAACCTTCATAATTCTGAATTCTGCCTACAGAAACTAATTTCTATAATTAACTCTTTAAGAATTCCAAAAAAACCAAAGCATAGTTCAAAAGCCGGAAAAAAAATAGAAAAGAAAAAACCAAACCTTTGGTATCTTCTCAGAGAAATAACTTCCTGTGAGTACTTGAAGAAGAGCACCATTACTGCAGTAAACATTAAAAAACATTCTTAAGCATCAAAAATTAAATATTCTTAACAAACATTCAAATGAAAAAGACACCTAGAAAAACTGACCTGTGACCAACAGAGAAAATTGGAAGGTTAACAAGATCAGCAGGAGTGAGATTAGCATCTGGGAATCCAAAAGCAAGAAAGTTGTCCAAACAAGCACTGAACCTCTCATATACTTGGTTGGCAGCTTGTTCATGATTAAATGTCACATTGTACGGCACTGATATTATTAAAAATCCTTCCTTTGCCAAAAGCTCAAGCAAGTAACTAACAAAGGAAGAAAAAAAAAAACCCCCAAAACCCAAAATTAGCAAAGCACTTTATATTGTTTCAAAAATGGAAATGATAAAAATGGGTACCTGTAAGTAACTTCAGGGACAGCTCCGAGGAAAGCACCGCCCAAGAATTTGATAATTGCACGTGGTTTCTTGTTTCCAGATGGAGGTATGACCAAACAAGAATCCAACCTTGTGTATATCTTATTAATAATGTTATTATTGTAATTAGAACTAGAGTTAATTCTGTTAATGAAACTGAAGCTGCTTCCTCGGCAAATGAAGCCATTGGAAAACGGCCGGGGAACCGGAGAGTGAAAGTTGAGATAACCGGTTGATTGAGGATACTTGAAAGAGTGGAACATTGGTGCTGTGAGACTCTTTGCAGAAAGGAAGTTAAGTTGCGCGCCTGAGATAGAAGAGGTAGCTAACTCCATTGTTCTTTGTAAAATGTTTGTTGGGGGAGAAAACCTGATGAAACAGTTTGCGGGGATATGAAGGGAAAACCACTAAAATTTGGTTAATGGCTGTACAAAACGTGGAAAACTAGAAAAACATACGCTGATCATTAGGCCACGATTCAGCATTGACTTGGGCTGGAACTAGCCCATTTAGGCGAATTTCGGCTTGGCTAATTTGGGCTGGGTTTTGAGGTTAGCGGCCTTTCTGAATTCACATCTCAGCCCACTTTTAATAAGAACTTGGAGCATTCCTGGATGGGGTGAAACTCTTGAATTTCTAATGCTTGCCGTTGTACTCTTTAAGGCTATTTCTCACCATAACTTTTGTATTAATATCTTTTGCTCTTTATAAAGTAGGCAGAATGCAGGAGTTGGAGAGAATAATGGAGTTTAAATAATGGAAACTAATATACTTTCAGTTACTCGTTACTGTGCTGGACTACTTGGTTCTTCAGTATTAAATTGAAAACAAGTGCCTCGCAGTTGGGACAGGTCGACAAAGTGATAGTTACTGGGCAAAGTTTGTAAAGATTCAAAAAAAGAAGAATTAACAATTTGGGGGTCAGCATAGATTCCTTTGCTTCTGAAGCGAATCAATATTAATATTTTCTTGCATCTCAATACGCCCGAGAAATGTTATGCAAGGGGAGAGACTCCCATGTGGTTCGGCAAACAAGATTCAAGTACAGCCTGCTCATGGTTAGCTGCTTCCCAGTAATAGCATCATACCATTGAAGCTTAAAAGGTCCGTAACATAATTTCTAGCCAGACACATACTAGTGTCTCAAATAAACAAAACCAAACCAATAACAAACTCAACCGGAGGTGAGAGGGAATCGAAACAGATAAGGGCTGCCAGAAAACCCAAAACCTAGATTTAGTGGTTCTAGGTATATCTTTTTGTGCCTAAACCACCATAATTCGGCTTTCAGATGTTTCAAAACTGTAAGAAGAGGCTGCAAACCCAGGCTTCCTGACAAGAACCTGAAAAGTGTCATTAATGAAAAGCCTTTTCTTTGAGTCTTCTACACAAGTTTCCACAGGTTTCAAATGGGTGTTTTCCTTTGAGCTAAGGGAGTTGTAGCTAACCCCATAAACGAAAATGATTCTTACTTTAGTGAATATATAAAATTGTTGCAGTCCTTTGTTATTCCTCTTAATTAGATGAGATTATCCTAACCTAGCAGAATATTACCTACAACAGTCCCTCTGTTGGCTTCACAAAGCAACATGCAAGACATGTATCAGATTATAAGAGGTGCCAATTCATCTACACTACACACTAGAAGTGCAACCATGTATAATCTACTAACTTGTTGGGAAATTCATAGAGCATCAATGGCAACCAAAAATTGAGCAACGGGGAATCCATGGTAAAATCAAGCAAAAACCAAACCATATGTCTAAAAAAATTATCATTATCTTTATTGCACCACTTAGTCACGTGCATAAATACAACAATGGAACATCATTGAAATTGAGTATAAATCCAATAAGACCAGTCATCTACACATACATGTATTCACCACCACGAACAGCGTTTGCAGCACTTTTTCTCTCTTCTTCTGCCTCCTTCTCCCGCTCCTTCCAGCTCTCATAGTCATGGTCATCTGTTTGCAGTTCATATCTACAAATTGGGCAAGAATTGTGCTCATCCTGTCAAAAAAACCATTCAATATAAGTTACAGACAATCCACAATCTCATATAATCTTCCATATGTGGAACCAGTAAGTGCAATAACAAACCACTAATCAAATAAAGCCAAGGAACATTAATTACCAGCCATGGCTTTAGACAAGGAGGGTGGAATGTGTGCTTGCAAGGCAATTCTTGCATGTTATCGCCTACAACAAGGTCCTCCTTGCAGATTGCACATTCTGTATCTGATCCAAGCTTAGCCAGGATTTCTTCCGTGAGAGCAATAACCGGAAGCTTTGCAACAACTTCTTTACTAGCAGGTGGGACTTGTCGGACACCACCCTCATTCTCCAATATCTTGAAAACAAAGATTAATTCATTCACATGAGAAAACGCAATACTCCTATAAACCGATATAAATTCATCAAGCAGATTAAAAGCTACCTCAGGTATAACAGTATCAAGGTGATTAATGAGCTCTTCAAGCATATTGGCAGCGGTTTCTACTGTATTAACGTCACCGGCCAAACCCCGAGAAGATTCAGCAGTTGCAGCAGAAGCAAAGGCGTTCATGAGATTGGATTGGACCAACCATTGAGGCTGTGGTGGTTCAGGATCCACAGTAAGATGTCCTTCAAAGAGATAACCTTTGGGAAAAATAAAAACAAAACAGAAAACTTATAAACATTTCCAACACCTCTAAAACATCTCAGAAAGACAGAAAAGCAAAGGATTTTGGGAAACAAACCTCTGTCTTGAGAAGATTCTGATGATGGGACCGGGTTTTCGATTTCATTTAAGTGTTCCTTGGCCTGAGAAATGCATTTCCTTAAATGACCCTTTTCAGAAGGATCAGAGACAAGGGATTCTAAGAGCTCGAAAAGACGTAACCCGGCAAGCCAGAATCCAGGGGCTGTGTATCTAGTTTTTAAAATGGTTGCAACTCGGCAAACAACAGAATAAAACTAACAAGGAAAACGACGTCGTGTTAAATTCAATTTCCGCTTAGCTTGGTTAAATTGAAAGAGGAGAAGTTGAACAAAGGGAAATGAAAGGGCTTACCGATTTGCGGAGAGAGGCAGAGGCAGAAGGGTAATGGACTTTAAGAAGGGAATTGATAGAGGAAACTGCGTCCTCGAATCTCTGTTTCTTTCCAAGCTGTTTCTGTAATTCCTCCAATTGTTGCTTCAAGCTTCCATCTGAAGAAGAAGAAGAAGAAAAAGACTCCATTCTTTTCAACTCTGTAACCTAATTCTTGAATACGCCTTTGAATTCTGATTCTGAGTTTCGTTTCCTCCTTGATCTTTTTGCGGTTTTGAACCCTTTCGGTGTTTTAATTATGAGCAGATTTCTTGGAGAGGGGGACAACGACGGTGCCCGAGCCCCTTGAGGCCCTTTAAGGGCTTTTAACCAATTGGTCCAATCCATTTAGATGGGCGGGTCTCCCTCTTCTACTCGCTTTCTTCCCGTCCTACTTTTTTACGACAACTCAGCTAATGGGTTGTCGGGTCAGGGCTGGCCCAGTTTCTTAACGACTCAAGTAGGGCCCAATTTGGTTCTTTTTTAGTGTTTAAGTTTTATTTTTCAAAAAGCATTAATAAAGTGGAAGTAAATACAAATTAGTAATTATTTTGATTAAAAATAAATACTAAATGACTATATAATTAAGGCAAAAAGATTTTATCATCTTCATACCTGATTACTGTGAAGATCAGAGGAATGGCATGGTTAACTTTCACTTTGTAGCACTTTTATTTCAATGTCTGGTAACACTAAAAGCAATTGTAAAAACAGTTAGCAGGAACCCACTTCCGTGCAGTAGTTGCTGCAACCTGCAATGGTAAACCTACCCATCATTATCTGTAGAACCAATGACTCTATGGGATGTGAGGTATGAGATAAGAGGCAAGAGCCTTTTATGTTTATCAACAATTGTAAGAGTACTAAACGTCTCAAGGGCTGAACAAAAATGGAGTACGGGTAATTCAATTTATCATATCAAGCAAGAAAGATACAGATATACAGGAGAGAGAGAGAGAGAGATGGTAACAGTAATTATACAGAACTCTGAACCTTGAAGAGACAATGCGAGGAACATCATGATCACCTTCACAAAGAAACGCTGGAACTGGAGTGCAGATATGCCCATGCTTTATGGCATGCCCCCTGGTCCACAGTCCCCATTCTGCATTCTCCATATGAAGTACAGAAAAAAGGGTTTCAAGTAGAAGTAGAACAGAAGGGCTTTCTTTTCATTTGCTCTTTTATATGCTGCTAATATGAATTTCAATTTGCTTGCAGATGGTCACCAAAGAAGTAGAGATTAATCAAACGTTTGATACAACTTTCCGCATATGCATGCAGCTTAGAAGCGCGATTCCATATTGGCTTCCTATGAAACAGTGTTGGCTGAATGCAAGTAGAGACAAAGATACCTATTATGCCATTACTCCGCAAAAAGTCCACTTGCATCTCATATACTTTCACATTGTTACAAGAGAGAAAACTAGGTTTGATACATAAAGATTTTCTCTTCTTCTATCACACATGATCTTGAGGAAAAACCAGGGAATCTCTCCTATCTGCAACTTGGGAAAGGGATTAGATAGAGTTATCATCTTTCTGTCCGCTTGAGTTTTTAAAAGTTCCATTAACTGCTACAAGAAACTAATTAAAGTTGCCGTAAAAGACCATACGTTCTGTTTGTCAACCAATAGTCTAATTACATTATCTCAATAATACATCCAGCAAATTCCATTGCAATAACAGCAATATGATTGTGCCAACATCTGTGGCTAATTTGCTTAAACAAATCAATACGAAAAGAATACAGGAAGAAACAGAATAAATGAAGCAAAGAAAAATGAGAAAAAAATATTTGAAAAGAATAAAAGGAGGAATCACAGACTGCATTCTCAATCCTTCTAAACATAGCTCACTTCACAACTTGTTTTTCATACAGAAGCTTCAATCCTTGGCTCGAATGAAAAAGCAGACATGAACTCCAGGGCTTCACCGTTCATAGAACATTTGGGTAGTTCAACCCAGTTATTATCCACCAAATCACAGAGAACATAACTGCAAAGCTCAGCAGAGCTTAAGCAGATAAATATCTGATCACCAGCCCCAACACAGTTTACGTCCACCTTCTTGCCATAAAACTCGTGTGACATCGAAGGAGGCATTGCTGCAATCTGATTCCAAGACTTGGCTTTCTCATCAAACCTCCACACCCTAAGGCTAGCACTTTCAAAAAATTCTGATAACACAACAACCAACATCTCTCCTCTACACTCCACCACATCAATGGAGTACTCAGAAAAGACGGGCAACAGTCTGGGATATTCAGAGAAATACTTGCGGGTCAGATTGCAAGCCACAACTGTTCCTGAGGAGCTGAGGAAATAAACAATCTCCTCACCATCTTTAAGAGTAATGACTGATGAATACTGCTTGGATGGGCTTCTCTGCGTGTTAGTTGCCACTACATTTCCAGCATTACTAAGGAAGTACACAGCATCATCATCGGCTGAGTCGAATTCTGTACAATCATCAGCTTTTCTCCTCAACATAATCTCTTCTTCCCAGCAATCAGCACTTGAGTTATAAACTTTGAATGAAAGCTTTGGAAGATCACCAGAGACTAAGACAAGCTTGTATGAGCCATGGTAGTTGGAATATGCATCCATTGCAATAGCATGAAGAGATCGATCTGGAGAGTCTGGATCCACTGGAGGGAGTTCGCGACAAGATCCTGTCACAGGATTGCATACAATGTAATCGCCAGACATATTGCGGAAACAGACAAGACCACCGGATGCTGCAACTGGAATGGAGTCACAGTTACAGTTACGCAAGAGGAGAGGCGGATGATTGAGTTTTTTCCAAGCTTTTTCAGCAGAGTCAAAGACAACGGATTGATTAAGATTGGGATCCACCATGAAAAACCAAGGCTCCCGTGAAGGAATCCGAGAGCATGCTAGCTTAAAACTTTCAGAAGCTGCAAATGATTTCCATCTCTTGCACACTGAACTGAGGCGAAAGAACGCTGAGGTCGGTAACCATGAAAGGACCCTTTCTAGGAGGTCTTCATTGAGCTCATCCAAGGAGAAGTTCAACATATCATTGCCTTCTTCAGGCAACTTCCTCTTTCTAGATGGCCTTGAAGCCCAGCCATTAGCATTCTCCATGGGCAGATTATTTCAGAAACTAACTGCAATAACAACAAGAGGTTAACAACACCATTAATAGGAGCCCATTATCAATTATACCATTGAACAAAGGAATCAAAAGGCAATTATTTTCAAATCTATCCCCATCATGGAGAATATATGAAACAAGGCAAATAAGGCTTGAATATCACATCAATTAAAGATTAGAAAAAAAATTGACAACCTAACTAACATAGGCATTAAAGGTCCACACATGACTAGAAAGCACTAGGAGGCTCTCCTTTTTCCTAACCTCCTCTCTCATATTAACACCGAAAATTTGGTTTCTTGGAAAAAGTAGGGTAAAGAAGAAGAGAAAATAGTACTACTATTAAAGAAGTGACAACATCATACCACTTGGGTTAGAACAAAAATAAAAAGACCATAAAAACCTTTGTCCAATAGAAATTTCCTTCTTTTTCCAAGGGGGGCCAACAAGAGGACAAGTTAGCTCCACTCAATTTCGCTTCAATGAATGCAGAGTAAATTCTTCAACGAAAGTAACTAAAAAGAACAAGAATTTTGGGAAGCCATACATTGAAACTACAAACATGATAAAAGTTTTTGTTAAATACCATCAATTTGCACCAGAGTCCAGACTCTCTTTTTTTTATTTGTTTTCAAAAATTCTAACAAAACTGAGACATAACCCATGAAGAAAAATTGAAAATAAAATCTTTTAGCTTGATAAAAAAGCCAGAAATGAGCTTGACCATGGAAGAAGATGAAGACAGAAAAGGAGAAATCAAAGAAGGAAAATGTACCTGGTGTAAGGAAGCTGAAGGGGAAGCCTTGAGAGTGTAAGAGACTGCGGGGTGCAAGAGCGTTAAGTGAAGCTTAGTGGGGCTCCGGGGGATTTAAAGAGGGACAAGTTGAAACAGCCCAAACACAAAACAAAAGGGAAAGCAACAGCATAGAGAGCAAAGTAAAAGGGTTTTACAGGAGGAGGAAGGGAGGTAGGAAACTTCCTGGGGTTGCTCTTTTTGTTAGCGTTGACACTATAGACAGAAGAGCGAGCGGAGCAAAGCAAAGCTAAGCTTTATGCATATGCAAAAACAAAAGTGAAAGTGAAGCCTCACACTCACACACACGGGTGGAGAGAGAGAGGGAAAAAAAAAAGATAAAAGCAAAAGAAAATCTACTAAGTTGACTCTGGCTCTACTCATCTACTGGCAAGTCTACTAGACAGGCTTAGTATAGGGTAACAGGGAGAGAGATAGAAAGAGTGCATTGGATTCTGGGTTGGGCCGTCCCCGTGAACTAAACAAAGCTCAAGGATTTTGTTTGCTGTTTTTGCACTTTAATCAAAAAAGAAAGTGAAAACACACGTAACCCTAGCTGAGTAAAAGAAGAAAAAAGCAATGGCATTTCCATGTCAAAGGGGGTGAGGGTTTGAGGCCTGGCTGAGGAACTTGGACAGTTAGATGGGTTGCTGACCTTGGTAAAGCAAAAGGCAAAGAAAGAAAGAGAGTTTTTCTCTCCTTTTTTTTCTCTTGGCTAGTTTGCTTTCTTTTGTTTGCCTTCCTCGTTGAGGAATCTTTCCTCTCTTTCCCATGTTTCTTTCCTTTGGCCTTTGGGCTTTGGTCAGTTCAGTGTCTGTTTTTGTACAAAAAGTCAAAATGCCCCAGTAGCAAGAACCGATTCCTGTAAAACCCCCCCATAAATAAAAAAACAATAAATCGTCAAGCTAAAGACAAAAAAGCCGTTAATTACGATCTCCTTTTTCTGCTCTGTGTTTTCAAACAGAGTCTCGAATCTCGATGCCACCTTACACGAGTGGGCCCGCAGTTCTCAACCCAGTCTGGTTTCATCAAATTCAGCCCATTTTCTTGGACTGCAAGGAAAGCCCGGCAAGAAAATTTTTCCTAGAAACAAGTTTCAAGTCCCTTCTTCTTAGTACAATTATAAGCCAACAAATTCAGATAATGATATATCACATTAAAAACTAGATATAATATTTTTAAAAACCATGAATTATTTAAAAATTTTAAATAAAATTTTTTTATTTTATTTAATTAAGTTTTTATATTTTTATTTTTTATCAAATATAATTTTATAATAATAGTTGACTAAAAATCTATTTGATTTAACTTTTTTTTCAGTTTAAGAGTTATTATAAAACTCTTATCAAAAACATAAATTTTAAAATTAATCCAAAACTGTTTGATAAATTTACTTTTATATCTTCTTTTTTATAGATAAGTTGTTTTACTAATCAACTTATATAAATTTTAATTTTAATTAAAATTATTATAAATGATGTTTGCAAAGAGTAATCTTTATAATATTTACAAACAAAGGTAGAGGGGAAGGAAATCGCTATTTTCGTTTTAGATATGTGATTTGCAAATAGAGGGAGATTGATTGAGAGAGAAGTATTTTTGAAGATGGGTAATGTTGAAATTATTTTTAATAGAGAAGAATATTTTTGAAATAAAAAAATTCTCTTCAAATGCTCATATGTTTTTAAAAGAAGATAAAGAGAAACTCATCTCTATAGTTTTTCTTGATTTTGTTTTTAGATTTTGTTTTTATAAAAACATTAGTGCTTCTCAAACTTTTCTTTAGCCTATTTTTTGTTTTTAAGATGTAAATAAATTAAAAAAAAGCTAAGCCAAACAGATATTAATTGTCATTATCCAAAATATTATTTGTTATTTTTCATACACGTGACATTCATATAAAAGGTGAAATGTTATGTGACTATGTCATCACATCACATTATTATTTATCATGACATGTTAATATATCATATTAATAACACGTGGTATAAATTGATAAGTGATATTTTAAATAATAATAATTAATTATTAATTATAAAAACTTATTTAATTTAAAATAAAAAAAAATAAAAATTTAGATAATTAAATATTGTATAGAAGTATAATTGGAAGAATTATATGCATTATTAGTAAGTAATATTTGCTAATATGTCAAATTTTAATTATCTTAACTTTTGGAGCTTATAGTTAGTGATGGCCTCATAGGGAAAAAATCTTTTGTCGCATAGACTCGGATCTGGGTGCCATCTTACATGGGCCTGATTAATTACCGCTGAGCCCATCTTTGACAAAAGAATGCCCGGAAAGAGAACTCTTCTGGAAAGTCCGGGAAAGGAAAATGGAAAGAGAGAGTCAAAGTTTCAAAGGCAAATATTAGAAAAAGAGAAAAAAAGAATGGCAGATTTGTTGCTTGGTGTTTCACAGTCGTCTCTTCTTCAACTTCAACCAAAGCTTGGATCATTTCGAAGGCTACAGCTCTTTAACAATTACGGTTACTGGAGATTTGGCAACAGTCAGCTTCATCTGAAAGAGTTGACTGTAGCTGGGGTAGTATCTTCTGATTCGAAAGCACCCACGATTCTTACTAACTCAGTTGATTTTGCCAAGGGAGGGATCGACATCGAAGTAGACACAGGAAACGGTGGAGGAGACAATTTTGACAACAGAAGCAGAGGAGGAGGAGGAGGTGGCGGTGGGGATAACAGCGGCGGAGGTGATAGTGGCAATAAAGGAGAAGGGGAATTTTCAGACGACGGGAGTAAGAAAAAAATGGCTTTGTCTATGTCCCAGATGTTGACTCTTGGATATGCTGCTGTTGTCGGAGGTAAAATTCTTGTCTTTAGTTTTTTTCTTTAATTATTGTTCAGTGTAATTCTCGCATGAGTCTTGGTGCTGCTATAGATTCGAGTTGGTAGAAATTTGATTGGATTTTGGGTAATTAGTTAGAACTTTAGAATTGATTAGAAAATAGTAAAATTAGACTTTTTGCTTCAAGCAAAGGATATAGATATTGTCTAATGGACTTTAGAACTGCTAATATTTAATTCATTTTTTATAAATAGTGGGTGGTGTTTGGGCACATCAAGAGTGGCAGCCAGAAGTCACTTATTGCAGGAGAGATTCTCAGCCTCAGTGCTCTATTATGTTCATACTCAGCTTCCTACAAAACCAGTTTTTGCCTCATTCCTTGGGCTTGGTAAGTCACTCTTTGTGGTTGTTGCACCTCTGGTTTTGTATGTTTTCGTTGCTAAAGATGATTGATTTAATTCCAAGTAATGAGGTTACAAGACATAGGGCCTGGCAATCAGTGTTGAACTTGTCATATCTTTTTTGTTTTATGAATGCTGAATTCCAAAGGATTAGCAGATTTGCCCTTTCATTGTTACCTTGATTCAAAATTCTTGAGATCAAGATATAGTAGTTTTGCTTTCATGAAAAAGATAGTGTGTGTGTGTGAGAGAGAGAGAGGACAGAGGAAGGGAAGGGTTGGGTTTTCTGTGTTGTTGTGGAAGAAAGGAGAGATACATCTAAAAGGTCTTCCATAGTGGTTTATGTCACATTGTTACTTACTAGTTTTAATTATATCTAGTCGTAGTTAACAGAAAGTACCAACTTGTGGTAGAATGTACTTCTGTTTGATAGGCATAAAACTAAAGAGAATTCGAAAAGGTGCTGCTATTTGCTAACTTCTCCACTTAAATTATGAGGAATAAGGAGGTGAAGTTTTAAGTTTTATTTTGACTGTTACTAATTACCGTATGAGACAATTAAAGAGGATTTAGATTGTCTCCTCTCATCCATTTATCTTTTAGCTTGATCAAGTTTAACCCTAATTGCTTTTATGACATTTAATTTAAAGGTATATCTGCGGCGCTTTTGGGAGTGATGGGTTTCCGTTTCAAGAGGTCAGGAAAAGTCTTTCCAGCCGGTGTTGTATCACTGGTGTCACTTGTGATGACAGGGGGCTACCTACATGGCATCATGCGTAGTCTGCACTAGGCTGATGCAGTAGTGATTGATAGCAACAAAGTTGAATTACGAGCCTGTATGCATATTGGACATGGTGCTTTGATAGATAGAGTGCTTTGTTATGTCATGCCTTTGAAGTTGCGAACTTTGTTAGACCACCATGCAGTGTGCTTGGACACCAGGTTATTTTGATATGTGAATGCGTTTTACCTCTTAATTATCCCTGTTTCTGTGCGATGTTAATCCCACACTCCCACGCCCACTCCCACCCGAATTTTATGCATAATAATTTGGAAAAGGCAGTTCTAATCCTGTAAAAAAACTAGTACCTTGACAGTCTAATGTGAATGTTACAAAAATCCTTCATTAGTTGGAACCTTCAATTCTTCGATCAGAAGATGCACTTTGATTGGTCATAAAAACAATGTACCGTTCATTTTCAGGGCAGGGGTAAGCATCAAATGCTTGTTTGAATGTGGTGCAATAGGTTTAGCTTGTAACCAAATGTCAATCTGATGTAGTTGCTGCATCATTTCCATCATAAAGGAGAGTTACATTCAGGTCGAGCATACCAAAAACCATCAATATCAACAGAATTCATCCTTTCCCAACCAAAACCTGCCAGTAGGTGCGAATTAGATTATGATGCATATGTATCAATTACCGACTATCAAACAATATGATTTCAATTAAAGCACCGTGTTGTACCCTGAGGCCGAACAACGTCCAACAGTGGAAGGAGTTACTTCGATGTCTGGTGAATATTACTACCAAATATCGTCCATGACTCCATTTCATCCACTGGATCAAGGTGCAATGCAGGTCAAGTGTTGAAGATAACTTACATAACTATTATCCATTTTTTTCTTGTTCAATTAACTTTTACCCATGACAGCATAAGCACTAAAACGACAGCTGCCTGTAATCACTGGCCTAGTTTGTACATCATATGTTCTAAAGAAATCTCTAGATGCACTGCAGCAATGCAACGTCAAAAGTTTCATCAACGATCACACACAAATTATGAGTCTTCACATTCAAATAGAACAGAGAGCCAACAACCAAGCTAACTGATACGTACAAAGCAAATCCTAGATAGTTCAATTTGTCAGTTTGTTAGGCAGATTAGAAACATCGATACTTTAACTGTGTGCCAGGTTTAAAAGACATCACAACCGCCTCTGGAGGCAACAGGAAAACAAGTGAACAGATCCTACATTAGGCAGCACTCTCATGGGAAATCATAGCAAGACCTACCATGAGACCTGTTTTGCATTGTACACTTGCCATCCCAATCAATTCCAAAGGCAGATCAAATGTCATCATCCCAGCGCACTTACCATTTTACAAGAATAATAATGCTAAATTTAGTTTTTACCAAACACATAAGTTAATCCTCTACGCTTAGCTTAGGCAACATGGGTTGGAGTTTTTGGTTGCAAATCTTCTTGAGGAACAGGTGATTTTTCGAAGCAGCCCGACTCCAGTGAAGTTGCAGCACTGAGGTTAGCTTTGGTGTCATCAGCCATTTTTGGTGTTGATGGATTAGGATATGGGTTCCTGTTCACCAACCTGCAAAAGAAAACAGATATGTTGTTTGCCTAGATTATAATCCCCATGCTTGAAACAAATTCTAAGGCAGCTTATGTGACACTATTATGCGATTTTGAAACTAGTTGAGCGTTTTTATTCAAAGTAATAAGCATCAAGACTCATATATTATAA